GCCTATGCTGAGTGGTATCACAGGGATTCACCGTTTGGCTGACACGGGGTACTGCTACATATCTACTAGTTATATGCAATAATAGAATTCCTATACTTTTTCCATGATTACTTCACAATTCATTTCACAATAAGCCGGCAATAATGAAAACATGATACATCTGTTGTTACAATGCGCAGTGAGAAACAAAATGTAGCTTCAGGATCTATAATCTTAGGGACATGTCAGGCGCCGTCAAAAGTTGAGATAGGTGCTAGGTAAGGCAGGGCAAATCAATAATATCACAGTATCCATCCGAAGTGCGACTGACCAACAGCTCATCAGACATGAGATCATATGCTACGAACCACGACTTCATTTCGCAGACGAAGACGATAGGGTGAGGGAAATATGTCAGTTTACAGTATGGCTCACCAAGTCGCCAGCTAGGGGGAGGGGAATCCAGCGTGGCGGAACGGACGGAGGTGAGATCCAGGCTGCATCTGCACGAGCTCGGATCAGAAACAACACTTAGCACCAACACGCGGCATTAACCCGGAGGAGCGGGAGCGGGAGAGGACCAGGAGCGAGGAGGCAAGCAGTACCGAGGCTGCGGAGGTGAGGCAGCGGGACGGGGATCTGGATGCTGCAGGAAGCAGCGGAGGGCCGCGCCGCCGCTCGCCGGAGAATGGGGATTCGCCGCCAGCTCTGGGAGAGACTCGGAGTGGAAAAGCGGAGACCATAATTGGACCATCGCTGCTCGTTAGGTTAAGGAAGAGAGGCTATTGCTGGGCCGGGCCGGGCCAGGTTCCTCGTGGTCGTGGATAAGAGCTTCGGCGGCCTTCCGGACTGGGAATGCTCCCATAAAAACCAGTTTCACCTTTTTCTTAAAAAAAACCTAAAAAAGTTAGCTTTATCAAAAACCCAAGAGAAATTGAAATGACAAAAAATCTGATACCCCCGGCCAACGCAAGTAAACTCATCGTATCATATCATTGTTTCATGTGGAATTAAGGTGCATGTTTATTAGTACATCAAGTTGTCCACACATGTCAATTTTCACTTTATTTTCCTTTTTTTTTTTGCAATTTTATTACATGAAACAAGGATATAATACGCTGAGTTCCTGCTGAAAATGCCCTCACACTGAGCAAGTAGTTCCACACACATGTTGCATGATCAGAATATCCATCATGTTCATAAGATCAACACCAGTGATACTTAATCTGTGGTTCTCCAAATTAAGCAAACATAACTTCGACAAAAGTTGCCATGCTGAAAAGGCGAGCACTAAAACGATCACATGAGTGGCACGCAAGGCCAACAATCACATAACAGCAATTTATAGTCTAACTCAAAAAATAAAGTACAACACTGATACCATATAAATTGTAAAACATAGAATGATTCATCCTCAGACCTTGATTGAAAAGGATCTCCGCGTACGTCCCTTTGCCGACATGGGTTATCCCGAGCTGCCGTCGCCAAGTGCAGCACTCGGCAAAGCGTTTGCCGAGATGCATATGGGCTTCCTATAGTGATTATACATATTGCACCCTTACCATAGTGGTACTACATTTTTTTCGAGCAACTGACAGAAGCTCTGCCTTTTTATTTCATTAAAAAGAATAAGAATTAGCCAGTTAGTAAGTAAAGCTGGTAGAAAACCAATACATCATCAACATACACACCTGCCCCAAGGCTGTGGACCACGCGAGCCACCGGCTGCACCACCCGAATAAACAAAACTGACACTCTATAACCAGATCCAAAGTCGTCACTCCAACATCCACGCCGGCCTCAAGACCGCACACCAGACAAGTCGACGACTCAATCACCCAAGCAACCAGAAATGACAACCTACAACACCACAACAGTTGCTCAAAAAAAAAGTACAAGTGCATTTTACTTACAAATGGCTACGAAGAATCATAGCCTCATAAGTTGAAGAAAAAGTAGATAGCATCGTGCTCAAAAGAAAAGCAAAAAAGTAGATAGCCTCCTGTCCAAGTCCTTCAGACGCTGGTCGCCAACTGGCATATTCAGTACACAAACTCACGAAATCAACAAACAACTCGCAATCTAATAAATATCTTATCAGCCGGCATAAACAACCAAGCAACATGCACGCACCCAGGATCGACGGTTAGCAAGGAGGATGCCATGAGAGACTTAATTGTGAAGCTTCTTATTTAACTGTGCTTACTTTGAAAATACCTCCCTTACCATCAGAGTAAATTGCACAAAACCACCACTTTGAAGGCTAGGTTTACGAAAAACACTATAATATTATTTTTTTTTGTAAAAAACATCACGTCTATGGTAATCTTTTTACAAAAAACACTGATCGGCGGATCGGGCTCAGTTAAGTGCGTTTATAACAGACGGGGCCCGCCAGTCAGACTGACGTGGCACCACTTAAGCTCTCAAATATAACGGCGATGTTTGATAACGTTATCCTCATGTGGGGACCTATGGGGGTCCACCTGTCATCCAAAGAAAAAAATAAGAAAATCTGGCTCCTACTCTTGTTATCCTCACGACCCCGTGCGAGGTCTTGGTGCCAGAGACGCATCGCGCCGCCGCCGCCCAACTTGTGTACGCCACCGGCCGGCGACCGCAGCAGCAGCTTCAACTCGGGCAGGAATCTCGCACCAGGACAGCGGCCGCGCTGCTCGGCTTCACCTGCGCATCCCTCATCACCGGTCGCGCCCTGCCCCCGCTACAACTCACTCCAACCCCAACGCGGGCCGGCGTTCCGTCGCACGGCTCCCTCCGACGCACGGTGTGCCGCGACTGCGACGAGGCAACCGACCGCCTGATCCCGGAGCTCCAACCGTTCCCGCCTCGCCGGCGTGGCCACGCCGCCCGCCGACGACCATCTCTGCGTCCCGCTGCAGTCGGCCGGCCGAGGAGCTCAAGGTGGCTGCTCTCCAGCCGCCACACCAAGCCTCCACGGCTTGCTGCGATGCAGGCTCCTTCCCCCAGACCCGACGGTGCGCCTCCTCGCCGGCGACGAGACCCATCGGCGCGTCGTACTACTGCTCTGCTCGTGTGCTTGCGCAGGCCAAATCCATGGAGCTGGTTGCTTTTATGTTTTTGATTGAAGGGTGTCCCTGTGAAATTGTAGGGGCTGGTTTGTAAAATGTTGAAGAGAGGACTATGACACTGACGAGCGGGTCCCATGTCTAGCAATCGATTTAATGTAACGGTGTGATAAATTTGTGCCACGTAAGCCTGATTGGCGGGCCCCGTCTGCCATAAACACACTTAACTGAGGCAAAGTCGCCGATCAGTATTTTTTGCAAAAATATTACCGTAGACTTGGTGTTTTCTAAAAAAAATGTATTGTAGTGTTTTTTGCAAACCTAATCTTTAAAGTGGTGATTTTGTGCAATTTACTCTTGCCATCAACACCTGCTTTTCTTGACAGTATGATTCTTTTTCCAATTTTCTTGGCAGTATGATTCTAACAGGCATAGGACAAGCAATTTCTCATGGCAATGACTTTGAACAGCCAACCCGTGACCTTTTGGGACGCGTTTGGACAGTCCATGTACGTACGGAGAGCTAAAAAGGAGGAACCACGCTGAGAGGCTCGGAGTGAGATGCTGGATCCAATGAACCGGAGACGAAGGAAGACCGAGACTTTGAGTCTATAGGCACCTCTCGTTGGGGCGAGGCTACCTTTTCGGCGAGCACATTCATTTGCTCCTTTGGCTCCGATCTACAGGTTCGATAGTTTCTCCTTAATCTGCCTTCCGTTTCTTGTCAAAAATGCGAGTTTCTTCTTACAGCATTCTTTTTCGTGCAGGCACCATGGGCTCTGCCAATGTCTTCTTGGTCGTGCTTGCAGCTGTAGCATCGTTGTTGGTCGTGCAGGGCTTCGCCTCTGACGACTACGTGGGTGCAACAATGGGGATCAGTATAAACGCCTCCCTCTCAACAAGGTGGATCAATAACAGCGTCTCTCTGTCAGACGCATTCTCCAACTACGGGGACGGTACAACAGTACGCCCCACCGTCCTCCATTCAACAATGGTTGCTGGGCGCTTTCAAGGGTTGTCTTTTGGCGCAGGGTTCTTCTGCACCTCCCCCTGTGACGTCTTCATCTTTTCCGTCTTCATTATAACCAGTGTCGGGATCTATGGCAATGACACTGGATTTCGGATTATCCCGTCAGGGCCACATGTTGTCTGGTCAGCCAACAAGGATACTCCTGTCAGGGAGAACGCCACCATTGAGCTTACTAGGCATGGCGACCTGGTACTCCGTGATGCCGATGGGAGGACGGTTTGGTCAAGTGGCACGTCTGGCAAATCCGTGGATGGCATGGAGATCATGAAGCACGGCAACCTGGTGATGTTTGATCAGAAGAATGCCATTGTGTGGCAGTCATTGGACCATCCAACTGATTCATTGGTCCCTGGGCAATCACTTATGGAAGGTATGAGGCTCACAGCTACAAAATCGACTAAGAATCAGTTTTATATTACTGTACTCCGAGATGGATTATACGGTTATGTCAAATCCACACCACCACAACTTTACTTCTCATATCCATCGGTGAAAAGTAGTAAGACTGTAAGTGATCCAACAAATGTTACATTCCAGAATGGCGAGCTTAGAATCATTTTAGACGCACCAAAAAAACCTTATCATGACTCGTCAACACAGAGTACCGTTATCTACTTCGGTATTGTTGATTATCTCAAGCTGCCATCATCCCAGTTCAGCCAGTATATGAGATTAGAGTATGATGGGTGCCTAAGGCTGCATCAATGGTCTGATAATGAAAATCAGTGGACTACGTCTGATGTAATGGAAATCTCTCGTCATTGTGATGAGCAATTATCATGCTTTGGGAAGAGGGAGTACAGGATCTCGGGTGATTGTGCTTACCCAACAGTGTGCGGGGACTACGGGATATGCACAAATGGGCAGTGCAGCTGTTCTCATGAGAGTAATACTAATTTGAACTACTTCAAACCTGCTTGAAGAACTGTTCCTGCAGGGCTGTTATGTTCAGGTATGGCCAGAACGATTCCAATGGTGAACGTTTCTGGGTAACAAAGGTTTTCTCATTGCAGTCGATACAACCTGAAGCTGCTCATTACAACTCCACTGCTTATCTCAAGGTGCAGTATAGCTCCTCCGATTCCAGTTCTGATCTCACTCTAAACAAAAGGAAGGTCATTTTAGCAATTACACTTCCAACAACAAGTATTCTTATATTACTTATTATTGTTGCCATTCTTTATCCGCAAAGGAGGAGGAAGTATAAAGAGAACGATGAAGACTCTGAATTCAATCAATTATTATCAGGAATGCCAACGAGGTTTTCTTTTGAGAAGTTGAGAGAATGTACTGAAGGGTTCAGTAAAAAACTCGGGGGAGGTGGATTTGGTTCTGTTTTTGAAAGGAAACTCGATGGAGAGAGAGTTGCAGTAAAACATTTGGAAGGTGCTAGGCAAGGAAAGAAAGAATTCTTGGCAGAGGTTGAAACTATTGGCAGCATTGAACACGTCAATCTTATCAAGCTTATTGGCTTTTGTGCAGAGAAATCTCATAGGCTTCTGGTATATGAATATATGTCAAGAGGGTCGCTTGATAGGTGGATCTATAACCGCCGTAGTAATACCCGTTTTGATTGGTCCACCCGATGCAAGATTATTCTACATATTGCAAAGGGCCTATGCTATCTTCATGAAGGGTGCAGACGAGAAATTGCTCATTTGGACATCAAACCACAAAAAATTCTCTTAGACGGGAACTTCAATGCCAAAGTGGCTGATTTTGGACTATCCAAGTTAATAGACAGGGATCAAAGCAAGGTAATGACAATGATGAGAGGAACACCTGGGTATCTGGCACCTGAATGGTTAACATCGCAGATCACTGAAAAAGTCGATGTGTACAGCTTTGGTGTTGTTATCTTGGAAATAATAAGTGGAAGAAAATGCATTGACCGTTCTCGGCCAGAGGAGGATGTTCATATTATTTATTTATTACGAGAAAAGGCTCAAAACAATCAGTGGATTGATCTGATCGTCGATAATAATAGTGATGATAGTGTCTCACGCCAGGAGGAAGTGATCCAAATGATGAAGCTTGCAATGTGGTGTTTGCAGAATGATAGCAGCCATAGGCCTTCCATGTCAATGGTGATCAAGGTGTTGGAAGGTGCTATAAGCGTTGAAAGTCACATAATTCAGAGCTTTCTCAATGCAAACTCAATCATGTCTGTTCAAGATAATCAATACCTATATTTGGTTCATGAAGCATCTATCTTATCTGGCCCACGGTGAAAAAGGCAGTTAATGCAGCCAAGAAATTCCACACTGCAGAGTTTGATTTTTTGCAACTAATTTTATCGTATCCTATAGTATTTATGCGTTGGAAGCATGTTTTAAATGGCATCAAATAAATAATTGCTGGCCAGTATGTTAATTAAGCGAAGTTGTATCTCCTCATAATGAGGCAGGTTTTCCATGGAACCCTGTGCGTGAGTAGCATAAGGCTGGTCGCACCCGTGTGATCCAAAAATTACTAAGTCAGTGTGCAGCGCCTGAGAGCTAGGCGCCACACTATACAATATAGCATCTAGCTTCTAGGCGTTGCACTAGTGGTTGCTTCATTTTATAGTGCAACCACTAGTGCAGCGCCTGAGAGCTAGGCGCCACGCTATACAGTGCAGCGCCTAGCTCTCAGGCTCTGCACAATGACTTAGCAATTTTTAGGCAGTCTGGGGTGCAACGCTGGCCAGACGTGTAGCGCCTATCTATGAGGCGTTGCACAGTGTAGTGTGGCGCCTTCGTGTCGGGCGTCACACAAAAAGATCAGCCGCGTGAAATAGTTTCACGGGCAGTTCATTCTGTGATTTGATTTCGTTCACAGGTCAAATTTGCCATCATAGGTAGTATCATGCATGCCAACTAGGCAAATTTGATAAGGTGACATATAATTAAATGAAGAAAGAGAGGGTTGAGTATCATATCATGATACTGTATCATATTAAATGTTATGCTACTATGTGTCATGCATGGCAATAAATGAAATCATCTATGATACTAACATATGATACTATGCACTACGGATGTAGTATCATATGCATGATACTACTCTATGATACTTGCCATTACGACCAGCCTAAGCAAAGTCTGTCAGGTGACTGTTTTACCAGCTCTGTTAGGTGATCTTCCAGGGTATTATAAACATGTTTATTCAAAAACTATTTTTCATAAGGGTAATTTCGATATTTACATTAAACTAATTTTGATATGCCATGGCATCATATTGACGTAAACAGGTGAATAATTTCGTCTCTTTTGCAGTTGTACGATCCCCAGTTCCCCACAACCAAATTGGCATGGGCTAAACCATCTATCAGCACCCAAAATAAATTGTTCTATCACTCTTTTCCTTCTTGGATAGTGAAACAGGAAAATTAGACTGTCTTTTGACAGGACCACGACACATGTTATGTGATGGTTAATATTCCTATTGATTCTTTTAGTGAGTTTCACCATTAAAGATCTTCTAAACTATTACTTCAAATCAGTGTAAGGACAAAAATTACTAACAAGTGTGTAGTTTTCCAAAAGAAAACATGTTTTGACTGTAAGAGATAGTACTAAAAGGAAGTTAACTGAAGTTGAGAGGAAGATAATAAAATTGGCAGTTACCATACCTCAAAAACGAATTTTTTTCTGAGAACCAGAAAAGAGCGGGAAGGATCCATATTATCTGAGGTAGCACCTTCTTCACCTTTATCATAATAATCTCCATGATGAATAATGACTGTAGCCTCGTTTTTCCCCAATGGTGTAGAACTGTCCAGAGCCGTTTTGTTGTCTGAAACAGGGAGATTTGTGCCTGGTATTAACATTGAAAAGTACATTTAAATTTTGAATCATTGAAACTGTAGGACATAGAAAAGGCTAAACAACAATCTGAAGACCACGCAGAAAACTTTAAACTCCAAAGTTTAGATTGGAAATTTTGACATTCACAAACGATTTTCAAGAAAAGAAAAGAGGGCAATAACTAGCATGTGTGGAACCATCAAAACTTGCTTCCTTACCACGGTCCTATTCCGACATGAGTAAATCTTTTGGATATGAAAGGGTAAGAGGATCATTCAGGGATCAAATTGACGGTGGAAGGGGATCGCCGGAGGGAGGTGCGCTCGCCGCCGTAGGGCTTCGGACTGACTGCTCGCTATGGCTTTGTATGAAGAGGTATTGGGCCGGGCCCTGTCCGTCCAGTGCTAAGTGCGGGGATTTTTTTTCCCGACGAAAGAAGCCCAGGTCTCGCCATTAGCACCCTTTTGAAGTTTCGAATATGACTAGGACGGGTTTAAATGAGTGTGGATTTTTGGAGGCTGAGCTCCAGTGAGCTTGGTATTTTGAAAATATCAAAAAGCATATTTAAAGTTTCCCAAAAATATGAAAAGAATCCATGGAAACATATATGTACTCCCTCCGTTCCAAAATATAGTGCGTCCTCGGTTCCCGCACTTCAATTTTGACCATAAATTTAACCAACAAGATCGACTGCGGTGGGAGCGAAATTATACCAATGAATTTGTATTCAAAAGAATTTTTCAATTATATATTGTTTGCTCTCGTTGGTTAAATTTATGGTTAAAGTTGAATCTCAGGAAGCGTGGACGCATTATATTTTGGAACGGAGGGAGCATACCGCAAGGACGTGTTAAATTTCATCAAAAAATGTTGTGATTTGTACGCTGTACAAAAAAACATAATTCCGGCCCAATAAAAAAATAAAAGGCCCGTTTAAAATGTGTACTTGTCTTTTTTCTGTACGCCACATGTAAAAGTATAATGCTGTGAAATTTTGCACATATGTAGTATACATGTGCACGTGTGTTCACAAATAGATTTGAAATTTTTCGTGCTCCAAGAAAATAAAATTTAAAAACGAGCTTACTGGAGCTCGGACTTCCTTGGCATTTTTCGGGGTTTATATGCTCTTCCCAGAAAAAAAAACTGGGACACCTCTAATCTAAAGAATACACTAAGTGACTAGGCTGGATTAATTTTTGTATGGCATCACAGTTTTTTTAAAGCGCCACCCTGAGGAAAGGTTCCCCACCTGAATATATTTCAGTTTCTCAAAAAAAACCTGAATATATTTCAAATAATTATTTTTTTACATGAGAGTTTTTAGGTGATACGCCACAATCTTATATGATCCCTAAGAGTCCAAAAAAAAGATCGTTTGACTGGGCTCATGATGGGGAGAGGGAATGGGAATTCAGAGATGGGAGTTTGTAGAGAGATTAGCATGGGAAATTGATATTAAATCCCATTTCTTTCTTTGGCATGTGATGGCAGTTAGACTAGGGAATTTAAGAGAGAGTTAACTGTCCCTATTTAGTTGGTAGGATTAGGTAGGGGCTAAAAAACTTTCAACGGTGCCTCTTCTCTTGCGCACGTACCAAACAAACCGATTGTTATATTCTTCCTAGATACTTAAACGCGCAGCTGCCTATTTGAACGATGCAAGCGCACACGCTAGATGATAAAAAAGTAGGTCGATGTCCGGAACAAACGCGTTATCCAGTGGGTAGTGTAAAGAACCTAAATACTTAAACATGCAGCTGCGCTATTTGGACGATGCAAGCGCACACGCTAGATGACAAAAAAGTAGGTCGCTGTCGGTAACAAACGCGTTATCCAGTGGGTAGTGTAAAGAATACCCATGCGCATGCATGTGCCGACGTCATCTATTTATGCTGTTTCAATTTTTCAAAAAGCTACAACTTTTGAACTGAGTGTCAGAATGCAGAACTATTTTCATCGCTGGGTTTCTCGTGACGAGCTCTTCAAAACTAGATCCCATATGAATATGTTTTGACGATTTTTTTTTCAAAAGCAACTTTGATGCTAGATGAAGCAATTTTAGTGTTAAACATGAGCAACTCTGATGCTAGATGAATTGCATCGTGTGTATAACTAACTTCGCCTAGTAGCCACCTAGTTAGTTGTGTGCAACAATCCACAACTTATTTTCTAATGTATGCAACCATGATTTCTAAGTTGCATACATTAGAAAATAAGTTGTGATTATTTAGTTGCCTATCATACTGTGAAAGTTTCTTATCGTAGAGTAGAAACTTGTCTAACATGGCTTCTAAGTTGTCTATCTCAGAAACCAGGTTGTCCTTTCACTGTGAAGTTGCCTACAAGTGACCCTCAATTTCTTACAATACTATGAAAGTTTTCCATCAAGGGACCTAAGTTGCCTACAATATCAAAAAGTTTTTGTGTGATCTAAGTCATCTATCATGATTTCAAATTTTGAACTATGTGGGGATGGGTGGTATGAGATCTGTGTGCTTTTCTTTTCTAGGGAGTCTGCCCGCCAATGCTACCGAGCACACGGGTGTTAGCTAGCCAGGTCGTGACAAGCTCTTCAAAACTAAACCCACATGGATATGTTTTGATGATTTTTCTTTCTTTCTTTCAGAAAGCAATCGTCGGGTGGTAGGTGCGACATATGCCAACGAGTGGCTTATCATTGTGGGAGCCAGTAAGACGTCGTCGGTGCCTGGAAACGGGATGAGGCGAAGACATGCACGCCGGCGAATCTTACCCAGCTTCGGGGCTTGTCGGGTGGTAGGTGCGACATATGCCAACGGGTGGCTTATCATTGTGGGAGCCAGTAAGACATCGCCGGTGCCTGAAAACGGGATAAGGCGAAGACATGCACGCCGGCGGATCTTACCCAGCTTTGGGGCTCTTCGTGGAGATAACACCCCTACTGCTGCTCTGCGGGGTCTCCGCATGATCACTAGATGAACAAGTAGCTACACAATGCTCTTTGAGCTGCTTGGTGGGAGGAGGAGGAAGGGCACGGCTAGCCTGCTTCTTCTCCTTGTGTGGTGTCTAGGACTAGCAGGGGGTGAAACCCTTTACATGGGTGCCCCAGGGGGTTTATATAGGCCCGGGGGTACAATGGTAATCCGACTGGGCGCGGGGCCCAGCCGTCTGTGACTGCGCTCGCCGGCTCCTGCACCGGCTGCTGGGGCCCGCCGACTGGTGGGTCCCGCCGACTGCCGGCCCCTTGGTCGACAGGCAGGCCCCACTGTCTAGGACCTGGTCGACGGCTGATCACTGTGGCTTCATCTTGGTGACATGGGCTTCGTCGTGGTAGGCGCAGCTACAGTGCCGCCGCCCGTCGGGCGATCGCTGTAGCCTCACCGCGTCTTGTCTCCTTAATGGGGCGTCTCCTTCGAGGGAGGCGGCAAGCCGGCTGCGGGGAGCCGGCTCTGTCTTAGGCC